TGTTGTTGTTGTTAAGTGCCTTTGAGTTGGCACCGACCCATAGCAACCTTATGCACAGCAGAACGAAACACTGCCCGATCCTGGGCCAACCCCACTACTGTTGCCACACTTGAGTCCATCAATGCTGCCACTTGGCCAATCTATCTCGTTAGGGATCTTCTTCTTTTTCTCTGACCCTCCACCTTACTAAACATGATATCCTTCTCCAGTGACTGCTCCCTCCTGACAATATGTCTGAAGTATGAGAGACGAAGTTTGGCCATCTTGGTCTCCAAGGAGCACTCTGACTGCACTTGTTCCAAAATGGATCTATTGCTATTGGTTCTTTTGGCAGCCCATGGCACTTTCAGTAGTCTCCTCCAACACTGGGTGGGTTCAAATCACAGTTGAACACAAACCTGAAACTATGTTGTTGTTGCTAAGTGCCATCGAGTTGATTCCGACTCATAGCGACCCTGTATAGAGTTTCCAAGGAGTGGTTGGTGGATTTGAACCACCAACCTTGTGGTAAGTAGTCCAATGTTTATCATACAGCACCACACCAGGACTCCTGATGTTGTTGTTGTTAAGTACTGTCAAGTTGTTTCCACCGGCCTTGTGGTTCAAATGACATAACAGTCCAGCGCATTAGCCCACAGCACTACAAACAGTCCATTTCAATGGCCATCAGCACTGTTGTTGTTAAGTACTGTGGAGTCGGTTCCGACTCATAGTGGCCCGCACAGGGTTTCTGAGGCTGTAAACCTTTACGGGAGCAGAACGCCTCATCTTTCTCCCGCTGAACAACCTTGAGGTTAGTAGCCCAACTTGTAACCACTATGCTACCAGAGCTCCTTTCATCAGCACCAGGCCCAAAGAATATAGGATGATGACGTCACACCTGGACAACACGTCCTTTCAGTTAGGCCTTGGAAAGCTTTCAGGGCACTGTCAGTCTGAAAGGCATGACTGAGAGTTCAGTCTGAAACATATCTAGAAGATAATCTGTGCAGTTCCCTCTCAGACTCTCCCCGTCAGATACCAGGCTGGGAGAGGCTGAGGATTCAGTGCTCCACAGATAAGGCTTCTTGTTGTGAGATGCTGTCGAGTCAGCTCTGACTCATAGCAACCCTATCTATGCACAACAGAACAAAGCACTGCCCATTCCTTTACCATCCTCACAATTGTTGCTGCTACTGCGTTCTTCCATCTTGTTGGGATCTTCTTTTCCACTAATCTTCTACTTTACCAAGCATGATGTTCCTTTCTTTAAAAAAAAACAAAAAATCTTTCCCATCACCCAAATTAACACGTTGTTAACTGGTATGGTGCTGTAGGATAAGCACAGAACTGCTAACCACGAGGAAATCTTGGAAACGCTATACAGGGTCTGTATGATTTGGAATGGACTTGGCACTTAACAACAACCCTCTTCCCTCCCACCCCTGGTAACCATCAAAGAACATTTCATTCAATATGAACGCCTCATCTTGATTTTTTTTACAACAGGGGTCTCATATAATACCTGTCCTTTTGTAACTGACTAATTTCATTCAGCATAGTGTCTTCCTGGTTCTTTCACGTTTTGAGGTGCTTCACAGATTCATCGCTATTCTTCAGTGTTTCATACTGTTCCCTTGTGTATGTATCTAAGTTTATTTATTTTTCCATTTGTAGGCATTTAGATAGTCTCCATCTTTAATTCTATTGTGAATAGTGCTGTGATGAACATGGGTGGGCATGCATCTATTTGTGGTATGGCTCTTATTTCTCTGGGATATATACCAAGTAGAGAGATTGCTGAGACATATGGTATTTCTATTTTCTAGTTTTTAAGGAAACTCCATATCGTTTTTCACGTGATTATAACATTTTACAATTCCACCAGCAGTATATGAGGGTTCCAATCTCTCCATACTCTCACCAGCACTGACTTTTCTGGGTTTTTTTGCTTTTTTGTTTTTCTTGAGCTTTGCTACGAATGCTGGGAAAAGATGATAACAGAGTATGGTGGCTTTGTAGGATAAGCACTGGACTGCAAACCACAAGATTGGCAGTTTGAGTCCATCAGTTACTATGTAAAAGAAAGATTAGATTTTCTGTTTCCATACAAATTGACAGGCTCAGAAATCCTATATAGGGTTGTTATCAGTCAGAACCAACTCGATGATACTTAACAACAACAACACAGATGATAGCAGTCCTATTCCAGGGACTGGCCCCTCTGCATAACATGTCCAAATTATGTGAGACGAAGTCTCCCCATCCTCAATTCTAAAGAATATTCTGGTTCTATCTCTCCCAAGACAGAGTAGTTTGTTCTTCTGGCTGTCTGTGGTACCTTGAATATTCTTCACCAACACCATAATTCAAATGCATCAATTCTTCTTCAGTCTTTCTTATTCATTGTTCAGTTCATATGCTTATGAAGAGATTGAAAATATCATAGCTTGGGTCAGGTGCACCTTAGTCCTTAAAATGACATCTTTGGTCTTGAACACTTAAAGAGGTCTTGTGCAGCAGATTTGCCAAATGCCCAAACATTTGATTTTTTGACTGCTGCTTGCATGAGGGTTGTTTGTGGATCCAAGTAAAATGAAATCCTTGGCAACTTCAATCTTTTCTCCATTTATCATGATGTTGTTTATTGGTCTAGCTGTGAGGATTTTTTTTTTCTTTACATTGAGTTGTAATCCATGCTGAAGACTATATTCTTTGATCTTCTAAAGTAAGTACTTCACATCCTTTTCTCTTTCAGCAAGCAAGGTTATATCATGTGCATATCACAGGTTGTTATTGAGCCTTCCTCCAATCTTGAACACCATGTTCTTCTTCATAGAATCCAGCTTCTAAGATTATTTGCTTAGCATGCAGGTTGAATAAGTATGGTGAAATGAAACAACCATGACTCACATCTTTCCTGATTTTACACCATTCAGTATTCCCTTCTCTTTGAATTGGTTTTTGTAAAGGCTCTGCATGAGCACAATGAAGTGTTCTGGAATTTCCATTCTTTGCAATGTTATCCAGTTTGTTGTGATCCACACAGCTGAATGTCTTTGTATAGTCAATAAAGCACAAGTAAACATCTGTCTGGCATTCTTGCTTTCAGTCAAGATCAATTTGATGCCAGCAATGATATCCCTGTGTGGCATTCTTTTTGGAACACAACTTGGATTTCTGGCAGCTCCCATTCTTTTTGGAACACAACTTGGATTTCTGGCAGCTCCCTGTCGAGGCACTACTGTAACCGTTTTGGAGTTACCTTCAACAAAATTTTACCTGCATGTGATATTGATGTTATTACTCAAGGATTTCCACATTCTATTGGGTCACCTCTCTTTGGAATGGGCACACAATATAAATCTCTTCCAACCAGTTGGCCAGGTAGCTGCCTTCCAAATTTCTTGGCATAGCCCAGTGAGCGCCTCCATTGCTGATTCAGTTTGTTGAAACATTTCAATTGCTATTCCTTCAATTCCTGGAGCCTTGCTTTTCACTAATGCCTTCAGTGTAGCTTGAACTTCTTCGATACTATTGATTCTTGATCATATTCGACCTTTTGAGTGTTGAACAGCTCAGGCAAGAGCCTCCAACTCAGGGGCTGTGGGTAGCAGTTCCTAGTGGGATTTACTGAGTCTGAGTAATCACAAATTAGTTCGTGCTTTCCTGTCTTCAGCCACTAAATCAAGGTGTCAGTGTGAATTGATGGGGCTCATTATGCCCCAGAGTTGGTTCTTCAGGGAAATTTTCTTGAAGGCTTATTTCCATGCTTTGAAAGTATATAGACTAACAGTTCTAGGACCTCTGCTTCAGGAAGCATTTGCATAATATAATCATAGACAAATCAGTTCCTTCTCTCTCTCACCAGAACTTGAACAATTGTGTTCTTGGAAGGCAGTGGGGAAGCATGGGTGTAGTTCCCAGGTAGGGATTATTCCTGCATTTAGTAATTATTTGTTGAGGGCTTACTATGTATTGAAGGAGCCCCAGTGGTGGGATGGTTATTCATTCAGCTGTTAACTGAAAGATGATCAGTTCAAAGCTACCACCTGTTCCATACGAGAAAGACAAGACAGTCTGATTCCCTAAAGATTTACAGGCTTGTAAACCCTGTGGGCAGGTCCTAGTCTGTCCTGTAAGGTCACTGTGAGTTGGAATCGACTCAACAGCAATAGATACTATGTGCTAAATGTTGTTCTAAGGCAAACTTAGCAAAGAGCTGTAGGCCTGGCCCCCACCTCCCCCCAGAGCTCTGAGTCCACTGGTGAATAGAGACAGTCATAGTCACAACACAGGGAAGTGATGGGTGCTGTCATGTAGAAGGGACAGGATGCTCTGAAAGCATAGAGCATGGACACCTAATCTTTGAGTAGGAATAGGATAAGACTGAGGCTGGTGTAGAGTCCTGGTGTGGTGCTATCGGATAAGCACTTGACCACAAGGTTTATTTGAACCACAAAGTTGGCTGCTCAAACTCACCAGCCGCTCCTCGGAAACTTTACACACAGTAGCTATAAGTAGGAACCAATTCGATGGCACTTAACAACAACAACAACAAAGCTGGTGTTGGTTATACAAAAATAAGCTGGATCCCAGGGGCAAGGTAAAGCAAAAATAGAGTAAGATCTGAATGCTCTAGGGCCTAGATAAAATTTTGTTAGGCAGACAGAATTTTCCAGACGTTCCTTTATTACCACTTATTCTATGTAGAGGTGTTTTTGTTTGGGATATTAAAGGAAATAGAATAGCTTTTGGAGAAATTGAGTCAAATTGTGAATATAGTAATATACACAGAACCTTAACTTATTACTGAGAAACCTAGAACCCAAATTAGCCTGTGTTTTATGACCTGATGGTCCTGACTCATTCATTCCCAAGGGTTAGGGTTTTTGCTCTGTAGCACGAGTCCCAAGGAATGAATGAAAGTAAGGTCCCATTCACTCTTAGAGGAGAAACCTAAGGGTCCAGAGGCCTCTTTAAAGACAAATCTGCTCTTCTTCCCTCCCCTTCCCGACCAGGTGATCATGGTAACAGGGGATCATCCCATTACAGCCAAGGCCATTGCTAAAGGTGTGGGCATCATCTCAGAAGGTAACGAGACAGCAGAGGACATGGCTGCCCGGCTCCAGGTTCCTATCAGCCAGATCAATCCCAGGTAGGATCTCTAAAGCACTCACATCTAACATTTTTGTCTCCATCCCTAGTCTACCTCACCAGGTCCCATTTATTAGAGCTCTTGGAGATTCCTTCAGTGGTAGGACATGCTGGGTTGACATATTATAAAGTAAAACATAATATTTTCCTATAATGTTTTATTTTGACCAGTTTTTCAGAGAAAGAGGATAGGAAAAGGGAGGAACTGTTGGGTAAAGGGGTAGGGACAGTGTACAGTTAGGGACAAATCAAGAGATGAAGTTGAAAGGAGAAACAACAAGGAGGTTATATTAAAGACTGGTAAGAGGGCACTGTTGTTATTACATGCCATCGAGTTGGTTCTGACTCATAGTGACAACATATGGGGCTTCTGAGGAGTGACTGGTGAATTTGAACTACCAAGCTTGCAGTTCAAACTGACCTTGCAGTCCAGTGCATTATCCTACAGTGCCACACAAGGAGGTGGGGGCACTAGGCCCCCTAATGAATTCCCAACACCCCAAACTAGACTTCTGGCATTCTTTCCCTCAGGGATGTTAAAGCCATTGTGGTACATGGCTCAGAACTAAAGGATTTGTCGTCAGAGCAACTAGACGAGATCCTTAGGAACCACAAGGAGATTGTGTTTGCACGGACCTCCCCTCAGCAAAAGTTAATCATCGTAGAGGGATGTCAGAGGCAGGTAAGGGAGCAAAGCATCCATGGAGAAGATAGCAGAAATCCTGCGGCCCAGCCCAGCCCTAAACCAAGTGAAAGAACATTTGAACTAGAAGAGACCAAAGAGAGTATATGGGCTTGCATCTGGGGATACCCTCAGGAGAAGCAGGAGAGGGAGAGGCCAAAACTCCTAGATCAAGCATGATTACATTAAGAAACAAGGGATTCTGAAACCAAACTGACCTATGGGTCTGCTCCCAGTTGACACACTATTTCACTTCCCTCTATCTGGGCTCTCTCTTCAGGGTGCCATTGTTGCAGTGACGGGTGACGGGGTGAATGACTCCCCTGCTCTGAAGAAGGCTGATATTGGCATTGCCATGGGCATCGCTGGCTCTGATGTCTCTAAGCAGGCAGCCGACATGATCCTGCTGGACGACAATTTCGCCTCCATCGTCACAGGAATAGAGGAGGGTGAGAAAGCAGAGTACCCGGTGTTGGGATATGACCTTTAGACTCTGGTAGACCTTTAGACTCTGGTAGAAATTGTCTAACCTCCATGATCCTGTACAGACTGTGGAAAGCTACCACAATATAAAATTTTACAAACTAGCTCAGCTGGGACTTAGAACATGACTATCCAGAACCTTTTTTTGTGATATCTGAGGAAAGTCTATATTTACTAGGGAGACTGGGATTCCAATATAGCATATCCTTTCTCCTCTCACTGAGATTCAAGTGGCTCTACAACCAATTCAAAGATATAGCCATACTCTTGAGACTATTCCACACACCTCTGATAATGAATCCTTCAGAAGGTCCCTAGGAACCTGTTGTCTAAATGATGGTGACTCATTTAAGATCAGCTAGAGCCTGATGCATGAATTGTTAGCATGAGCCAAATTAAATGCACTCTTGCCTTAAGAATTCTAAATACCATTCGGTAAACAGGCGAGACCCAGAGTTTTATATCTCAGGTTCCCTGTGCCTTCTACTTGGAACTATCTTAATAACATGATCCACATAACAAAAATGATTACCATTTTATTTAGACTTACTATGATTCTGGTACTTTTCTAGGCATTTTATATCTATTTAACTCAATAAAATTCTTTATATACCAATTATATTCCAAGGACCTATCTAGATGCTAGGGATAGTAGCAGTGGAGAAAGAAAGACATAAAACCCTGCCCTCATAAGATTTAATATCTAGTGGAAAGAGACAGACAATAAGATGAGTACACTGCATAATATGTTAAAACATGGTAAGTGCTATGGAAATATAATAAAGCTGGGAGGAATTCCTCTTTTTGCCAGGGTATTTTTAAACACAGGACAGAAAATAGGATGCAAACCCAAGTCTGTCCTAAACGCAGGTTCTTTCCACTTCTGCCCTATGCTGCCATAGGCTTTTATACTGGCATTCTCTGGCATTTGTAAGTGTTAACTAGGCCCAACCTGATTTAATTGTCAGAGATCAGATAGCAATCACTCTGTTGAATCCAAGGACAAAAACTACATGGACATGGCAAGTTAATGAACTACTATTCTAATCAATAATCATGTCATTTCAAAATAAAATGAAGACAACCAAGATGTAGGACCTCCAGACCCTTTTATGGACACAGCTTTCCACAGGGTTGGAAGTTCAAACCCATCAGCCATTCTGCAGGAGAAAGATGAAGCTTTCTGCTCCTTGTCAAGAAAGATTTCTAGCCTCAGAAACTCTATGCAGTGTCACTGTGAGTCGGAATCGACTCAACGTTAGAAGGTGGATTTGGTTTTTGGTCTGGTCTGTCCCGCAACTGGCTTGTGAGAAGTGTGTCCTCACGGAGGGTTAATTATCCTTCTCAGGTCGCCTCATCTTTGACAACCTGAAGAAATCCATTGCATACACCCTGACCAGTAACATTCCTGAGATCACACCCTTCCTGCTCTTCATCATCCTCAGTATACCACTGCCTTTGGGGACCATAACCATTCTCTGCATTGACCTAGGCACCGACATGGTGAGCACCAAAGCTGGAATCTGGTCCATGGACTTCCTGTGAGGCGGACCAAGGAGTAGGAGAAATTTGCGTCATGATTAAAATGACAAATTTTGAGGCTATGCCATTAATTACATTAGCAATGTTGTATAACCTTCACTATTGAGTTACATTTAAAAAGTATCTATCTTATTTTTGATGTTGATAATACACACAGCAAAACATATGCCAAGTCAGTCTTTTCTCCACGCACAACTCAGTGGCACTAAGTACACCCTCTGATTTGTGCAACCATCCTCACCATCCTTTTCTAGGTTCTTCCTCCCCCACTAACATAAACTCACTGCTCTCAAAGTTCCCTGTCTAATCTTTCCAGTTGCTATTGTCAGCTTGATCCCACACAGATAGATCATAGAAAAGCTCAAAGCTCAAAGCAGACATTTGTTATCAAGCTAAACTATTCATTACTAATTACTATAATTAAACTAAGCAAGTGTTTGATTTTGAGAATATTTCAAGGGAATATTTTTGGTGTAAGGTCTAAAGATGGTCACAGGGCAATCGTTTCAAGGCTTCATCCAGACTCTATGGCTCCAGAAATCTGGATTCCATGAGGATTTCTAATTCAGTTCTGCATTTCCCCTTTGGATCTGGATTCCTCTATAGAATCTTTGATCAACATATTCAGTTGCCAAGCACCACCTAGTCATGGCATCACGGCAAAGGAGGCAGTTGTTCATGGAAGCAATTAGCTTCATGCCCCATGTCCTCCTCCTATTCCTGACTCTGCCTCTCCTGTTGTTCCAGATGAATAGTAGACACAAGTTGTTGTACCTTGAATGGCAGCGTTTGCGTTTCCTTCTGAACGTAGTACCTTGTGACCTCTCCCCTCCATCCCCCAGATCCCTGCCATCTCCTTGGCTTATGAGGCAGCTGAAAGTGACATCATGAAGAGAGCACCCCGGAACCCAAAGACTGATAATCTAGTGAACTACCGGCTCATCAGTATGGCTTATGGACAGATTGGTACTGCCTGAGGGATGAGGGTGCTGGGATCAGGGAGGAGGACTGAGCCCGTGGCTGCCCCTGCCTGAGCATTTGAGTCATCTCAGTTTGGAAGTCAGGGAGATGTTTTCTTCATAAATAACAAACTGTGCTAGCCTCTGGGAAAACAAAGAACCATTGATCTCTGCTTTGCCCTGAACTTGGAGCCCAGTCAGGAAGAAACAAACATACATAAAATGATAGTATTTTTCCAAGAGCCAAATAGTGAGTACAGGAGTACAAAGCAAGCAGACACACAATTATGAGCACAGTCAGAAAGGCCTAATGCAGGAGACAGGACTTCAGCTGGGCATTGGAGAATAGGACTGAGACCAGTAGATGCATAAGCAGGTGTAGACCTGGGGAGAGGGAGAATCAACATGGCATGGTGGGAAAAATGAGTAAGCCAGTTTGATGAAGCTCTTAGTCCTAATAAAGGAGTACTGGGAAATAAAACTATAGACATAGATCGTATTTATATTCTTGAGTTTTCCAGTGCAACGGGGTACTTCAAGGGGGTAGTGTGGGGGATGGTACTTCAAAGGATGGCCAAGATAGAGACTGGAAATGGAGGAGATGATCCCAATAATGAGGGGAGGAAACACATGGGGAAAAAAAACCAAAAACTATTTCCCCACTTAGTACCTGTTTGACCCTAGATAATGACCAAATCCTTTTTGTACTTCCCACTTGTGAAATGTAGATAATAGCTGACAACTGTGAGGATCAGTATCCACAAGGCACATATCCATATAAGGCACAACACTCTAGTCAGTAGGCAATAATTAATGTCAGCTCTCCCCACAGTTCACACACAAGGGACAGAGATCTAGACTAGGGGACAGGCAAGAGGCAGGTGAGAGATGTGAAGACAGGAGAGGATTTGATGAGTCTCTGAAAGTCAGAGGAAATGGAGATGGAGGAGTCAAAGCATTCATTCAATGTAGAGAAGGGATAGATGCCTCTAAAGTCCTTTTCAGTTTTAAGGTTATATAATTCACAACAAATATCAGGGATGGGAGGCAGGCTTCACAGAAATGATGAAATCAGATATTTTATGGTGACTAATGAGACACAGGTCAACCCAACTGGAAACAAGTCCCAGCTTTCACCCCCTCTGTCTTTTGGTCTGCTGTCTGGGATCCTTCTCTGAACCAGCTTCTCCTCACTTACAGGGATGATTCAGGCTCTGGCTGGATTCTTCACCTACTTTGTGGTCCTGGCTGAGAATGGCTTTAAGCCTTTGGATCTGATGGGCATCCGCCTCTCCTGGGAAGATCGATACTTAAATGACCTGGTGGACAGCTATGGACAGCAATGGGTGAGTGGAAGGGGTAGATAGTACATAGATAGTGTGATCAATAAGCATGAACAAATAACAGTTAAGAGTGGGATTAGTGGATTGTTGAAGAAGAGTAGAAGAATGAAGGCATTGGATGGACAGAATTGAAATCTCAGCTACATTAGCACTTAATATTTGGCCCTAGTCACCAAGCAAATAGAGTCTTCTCTTTATTTACAATGACCTCATTTTCTTTCACTCCTACTGCCTGTTATCTGCCCTTAACCTTCCTAGATCATTCAGATCCCTGCAACCTAAAAGTGGTCTTTGTCATCTGAACATTTCTGGACTGATTTCCGATCTTCCTGTTTCTCACCATGAATTGTCCTTGAAATGAGTGCTACGATGTTCGCTCTCCTGCTCAGTTCCTTTATCCATGAAAATTCAAATAATAGGATTTCAAATGTGCGCTGAGTAGACTGGTGCCCCATAGGGTTTTCAACAGTGATCTTTCATACACAGACTGCCAGCTTTTCTTTTAAGATTCCTCTGAGTGAGTTTGAACCACCAACTTTAATAGCCGAGTGCTTAATCAGTTGTACCACTCAGAGACTCATCAAATCTGATATCTGTTTCCTTTGTATATCTCTCATAATCATTCAAAACATTTTAAAACCTAGAGGATGTCCCTGTGTAATAGTCTCTCCTAACATCCAAGATGAATGAGGCACAATTTGAAGCCCTTCCCCAATGATGTATTCAAGAATTTTCATAATTTATTTTTTGTATCTGTGAGCATTCTTGTCCCAATTTCTTAAGACAAAGGGGGGGGGGGGCTTCCCCCAACTATTGCTAGAATCATAGAATCACAGAAGACATGTAATTCATTATCACCATTCTACAAACAAAGAAATTGAATCCAGAAGGTTAGTAGTGACTTGTTCAAAATCTAAAAGAGGTGGATTGGGATTCAGTATTTTTGATTCTTGGCCAGGCCAGCACTTTTTCACTTCACCAGGACGTCTCCAAACCATGCTAATCACAGGTTTCTCAAGAGTCCATTGGAATGTGAGGCCCTGAAACAGACTTGGCTTCTACCAGCTGAGTCCTTGAGGTCATCAGTGTGGGTCCCCCAGCTACCAACACTGTTTCAAGGGCTTGTGATGCCCAAAGTCCTCATTGCTCCCTGTTAGTTTAACATCCTGATGCCTCCTTCCCACTGTCAAGATGCAGCAGGACATCTCTTTATTTATAAATTAAGGTAACTAAAATGTTATTTACGGTAACAAGAATTTCCCCTGTATATCAAAGACATCTTGAGGTATTACAAAATGGAGGTTGAGAACAGTTGTCCTAAGGGATATGACCCATAGATGAAGGGTCTGTTTGTGTCACCTACTGCAATTCTCAGACAATTTAGTATTGAGTCATTCACCCAAGAAGAACTCAATATACTGCTAGAAGCAGGCATATCTTCTTAGCTTTTTTTATCTCTCTCACCACTGATCCTGGTGTCGTGCTGTGGGTTAATGCACCAAGCTGCAAAGCTGTTTGAACTGCAAGATTGGTGGTTCAAGCTCACCAGCTGCTACTTGGAATCCCTACACAGGGTCACTATGGGTCAGAATGGACTCGACGGCACTTAACAACAACACCATTGATCACCACTCGTTCAGGCATTCAACAAATATTCATTGAGCATCTTCTATGGGGATATGGTAGAGAACAGAATGATCAAATCATTCCTTTCATGGAGCTTATATTCTTCTTGCGGGGTGGGGATTAGGAAAAGAGGCAGGTAATAAATACATAACATTGTTGGTTGTTAAGTGCCATCAAGTTGGTTCTGCCTCATAGTGACCTTGTATAGGGTTTCCAAGGAGCAGCTGGTGAACTTGAACCGCCAACTTTGCAGTTCAAACCAACTTTGCAGTCCAACATATTAACCCATAGCGCCATACTAGGTCTTCATATATAACACTGATGTTGTGAAAGGCCATCAAGTCATTTCCAACCTATAGCAACCCTGTATAGGGTTTCCAAGGAGCAGCTGGAGAGCTTGAACCACCAACCTTGCAGTTCAAAAGGCTTTGCAGTCTGGTACATTAACCCACAGTGCCACACCAGGACTCATTAGCTAATGATAAATGCTAAGAATTCAAAGCATAGCAGAGATGTGGGTGCTGTAGTGAATTTAAAGCTGAGCAAATACAAGGATCTGACCAAAAGGTAGCAGCTTTGCACACAAACTTTTCACTGGAGTGAGACATTGACATTCTAGCTTTGATGCAGGAAGTCCCCTACTGTAGGAGATCTTCCAGAGGTAAGAAGCACAGGGACCAATGAGAAGGAAACAAGAGAAGGGATGTCAGTGGTTTGTGTGGGCCCTTTCAACATTCTCTTCCATTGATGTGGGAAGTCTTTAGATCAGAAGGATATTAGCACCTAGAGTCCTTATAACTACAGAGTTTATCTTTACCAGCAAATGTTGAGTAGTTTCCTGCAGTCGGCTTTAGCTAGCTATACTTTTGCTTATTTGGAAGTATGCACAAATTTTTGTATAGCACAGGTCAGCTTTTTTCAGCTAACAGGCATTAGCTTGCTATGAAAAAGTAAATAACTTGGTGCCAATAAATGGAGGCCATTTTTAACTCATTTATGTGGTTAGTTGCTGTCGATGCTGTTCTGACTCACGGTGACCCCATGTGTCAGTGAGTAGAACTGATTCAGAGGGTTTACTTGGCTATCATCTTTAAAAAGGAGCCCTGCTGCGGTGCTGTGGGTTAATGCGTTGGACTGAAAAGTAGGTTTGAACCACAAGATCAGTGGTTCAAGCTCACCAGTCGCTCCTCAGAAACACGATACAGGGTCACTGTGGGTCGGAACCAACTTAACAGCGCTTTAACAACCAACAACAATCTTTATAAAAGCAGTTAGTCAGGTCTTTCTTCTATGGGACCACGGGGTGTGTCCAAACTGCCAATCTTTAGGTGGTGGTGTTGTTGTTAAGGTGGCCTTGAGTCAGTTCTAACTCATGCAAAACAGAGTCCATAGAGTCCAATCGTTGATACGTTTGAACTATTGCTGCTGCCACTGTGTCAATCCATCTCGTTGGGGGTTTTCCTCTTTTTCGCTGATCCTCCACTTTACCAAGCATACTGTTCTTCTCCAGAGTCTGGTCCATCTTGATACTATGTCTGAATGAGATTAGTAGAAGAGTACAACCTGTTTATACCACACAGGGACCTTGGCTTATTTATAAAACAGTGCATTAGATAGAGTCATCGTTGTTGTTAGGTGTGGCTAGGTCGATTCCAAGTCACTGCGACCCTACACACAACAAAACTACCAAAACACCGCCTGGTCTTTTGCAATCGTCTCAATTTGTTATGCTTAGGCCCATTACTGTTGCCACTGGGTCCATCCATCTCATTGGGAGTGTACTTCTTTTTCTCTGACCCTCCATTTTACCTAGCATGACGTCCTTCTCCAGGAACTGGTCTCTCCTGATAACATGTCCAAAGTATGGCAAAATCTCACCATTCTGACTTCTTAGAGCTTTCTGGCTGTACTTCTTTCAAGACAAATTTGTTTTTCTGAAAATGCTCACCTCACCTCCTCAACAGACACAAACCCTCTGCACTTCTCACCTAGATTCTCTCCACCGGACTTCCCTGCCCCACAGGCCACCCTCCACACAACTACCAGGGTGCTCTTTCTACCATGGAGACCTAATCATACATTTTCCCAGGGTTCCCTAGAGCTTAACATGAAAGACTGTACAATCTCCACCTATAGCCACGTCTCCTCCTCCTCTATATTGTGTGTTTGCTCTACCCACTGACATAGTAAGACATATTTTCAAAAGCTTACTTTGACAACTGTCTTAAGAAAAGACAGGAGGGAGGCAAGGATGGAAGCAGGAAAACCAGTTAGGAGACTATCATAGTTCCACAGATAAGAGGCAGCGGTAACTGGGACTGTGACAGGCGCTGTGGAGGTGGCAAGCAATGGTTGGAACCTGGAAATATTTTGAAGGTGTCATAAAAGAATTTGCTGGTGGGTTGGATATGGTGTGATTAGGTGTCCTCAAGTTGACTCTGATTCATAGCAAACCTATGCTCAACAGAACAAAATGCTGTCCAGTTCTGCACCACACTCACTATTGTTACATTTGATTCCATAGTTACAGGCACCATGTCAAGCCACCTTGTTGGGGGGTCTTCTTCTTTTTCACTGATCCTATACTTTACCAGCTGTTCTGCGGGAGAAAGATGAGGCTTTCTGCTCCCGTAAAGATTTGCAGCTTCAGAAACCCTGTACAGGGTCGCTATGAGTCAGAAACTGACTTCACGGCACTTTACAACAACAACATACTTTACCAGGGATCATGGTGTAGCACTGTAGGTTAATGCACTGGACTGCAAAGTCAGTTTGAACCTCAAGGTTGGCGGTTCAAGTTCACCAGCCACTCCTTGAAATCCTATACAGGGTCGTTATGGGTTGGAACTGACTCAACTGCACTTAACAACAAAAACATACTTTACCAGGCATCCTGGTGTGGCACTATGGGATAAAACACTGGACTGCAAGGTCAGTTTGAATCACAAGGTTGGCAGTTCAAGCTCATCAGCGCTCCTTGAAAATCCTACACAGGGTTGCTATGAGTTAGAACCAACTTGATGGCACTTAATAACAACAACAACGCACTTTACCAAGCATGATGTCCTTTTCCAGGGACTGGTCCCTCTTGACAACATGTCCAGAGTATAAAACAAAGTCTTACCATCCTCACTTCCAAGGAACATTCTGGCTGTACTTCTTCCAAAAACAGATTTGTTGTTCTGGAAGTCCATGGTACTTTCAATAGTCTTTGTCATCACCTTAATTCAAATGCATCAATTATTCTCTGATCTTCTTTATTCATTGTCCAGCTTTCACATGTATATGAGGCATCTGAAAATACCATGGCTTGTGTCAGGTACACTAGTTCTCAAAGTGAAGATCTTGCTCTTTAACATTTTAAAGAGGCTTTGTAA